AGAGCCTTCTCCCCACCCCATGCCGCCGGACTGCGCGCGGTTTTTGGGTCTGGGAAACCACAGAGTAGCCGCCCAGGATGTTTCCTCACCTGATGGGCAAGTGGGGGCACGAGTGGAGCAGAGACCAGCGGAGTCAGCCTGGGTCCCATCCCAGGAAGAAGAAAAGACAACCCTGAGCATCCCATGATGGGTGGAGGACCAATGGGAGGGTGGGGGGCATGGGTTTGTGAAGCCCAGCTCAGAGGGGTGGAAGGTGCCCCAGGTCCTGCTGGCCCTGGTATTACCATGCCTAAACTCCTCTTGGTGCCCTATCCAGCCCCAGAGCATTCCAGCCTTTGCTCTGCTCAGAGCACCTCTGAATTTGGGATAGGGACAGAATCAGCAAGGGGACCCATGGCTCTGCCATGCCCCTGACCACGGCGCTGCTTGGGCTTGGGGTGTCAGAGGAAGCAGCCAGGGCGCAAGAGCAACTCACCTCATGGGGGTTTGCATATGTAAATTTCTTAAGAGAAAAAATAATTTGCTGTGGTAGCCCCGGCATCTGCTGCCCACACACCAGTCTGGGGCTGCAGCGCCGTCCTATAGTCCCCTGCCAAAGAACATCAGCTCGGGGCCATCAGCCAAGGGCCAGCATCCATGGGACATTAGATGGGGTAGAGAGGCCAGGGAACATCAGCTGAGGTCCATCAGGCAGCGGGGAGCAAGGCCCTGTCCCTCGGCGGTGGAGGGGCTGCAGGGCGGTGCTGCAGGAAGCCGGGTCCCGGGGCAGGAACTTCCTTTTGTGAAACCCCCGCAGCCGCGGCTGGACGAGTGTCACACAGGCGTCACAGGCAGCAGCAGGCCAGCTGTGGCCCCTTCTTGTCCCAGCACACTCTCGCTGGCCCCTCATATTGCTGGGGCAAGCTTGGAACAGCCAGGAGCACCCTGACTCTGGGAGTGACCTGCATGTGGCGCTGGAGTGGACAGGTGCCCCAGCCCAGCCCAGCAGCCCCCAGCCTCAGCACAGCCCCCCACCATAGCAGCCCCTGCACCCTGATACAGCCTCTACTTGGGGAAGAACCTGCTCTGCTTCCAGCCCCAGCATTTAATTGAAATCTGCAGAAATTACAGGATATGTGGCTCCCCTACAGCCACAGCTGCCCTGTGATTCCAACAGCCCTGCTGAGAGGTGGCAGGGCAGTGCAGAGCCCTGTCCCCTCCCATGGTGACAAATGTGGGGACAGTGTCCCCCCTCCTACGTGCTGGGGCAGAGCTGGGCACCTTCCAAGTCTCAGCTTGAAGTCACATTGGTGACTGCTGCGTTTTGGCAGTGGCTCACAGGTAGTTGTCCTCCTCCTCCTCCTCCTCCTCCTCATCCCGCGCCAGCGCCTCGATGTCGTGGGTGATGTCTGTGATCATGCGGTTGAAGGACTCGGACTCGGAGCGCAGGGACCAGCTGTCATAGCTGCGCACAGCCGAGGCCGACGTGTTGCTCATGCTGCGTTTGATGCGGCCAAAGCTGTCGGTGAGGATCCCGCCCTCCCGGATCCCGATGCTCTCTAGGAAGGTCTCAAAGTATCCGATGTCTTGGTCAGGGATGAAGGGCCTCATTCCTGTCATGGGCACCACGAGCCTCAGGAGGCTGCCCCTGTCAGGGGAACCCCACAGGCTGCTGGCAGGGGGTCATCCCATCCTGTCCCCCACAAGCACCAGGGTCTTGACACTCCCTGGAGCACACCCAGCACCAGCACCCCACCCCGAGGGCTGCACAGACATCAGCAGGGTAACACAGCGTGGCTGCAGACACTCACCCAGGAGGAGGAACTTCCTGCGGTCCCCGTAGAGGCGCAGGAGCTCGGTGCAGTACTCCTGCACCGGCGTGCCCAGCCGGTACTCACGGAGCAGGAGGGCAAACTGCTGGATCTCCTGTGATGACAGCTTGTTGCGCAGCTGCAGTGACACAGGGACAGGTCAGGGTTGGGGACACTGGCAGCACACAGTCTCGTCCCCCCACCTGTTCTCTGGTGCAGGGGGCTCAGACCTGCCTGCTGCCCCCTGCCCCAGCCGCTGGCACTGCTGGCCTGCTGCCCATCCCCGTGCCCATCCCTGTGCCCTCACCGTCATCATGTAGTCCTGCAGCTGCTCCAGCCCTGCACCGCTCTGGTCGCTGCCGCTGCAAGCAGTGGCCAGGCTGTGGTGGGAGCGGTGGAAGGAGGGCGAGGAGGTGCCACTGTAATACGCTTCGAACGTCTCGTGGGAGCCATTGCTGTGGGAAGATGAGGATCAGCGAGTCCCTGAACCCCCAGTGTGCCTGGCTGCCCTCCATCCACTGCACAGCACCCACCGTGGGACAGGGCTGGGGCACCACTGCAGCTGGGACAGGCAGCCACCCAGAGCAGGGGCACCCACCCAAGGGCAAGGGCACCTCCCCTCAGTCCAGGGGCACCCCGGGGGGAGCCAGACTCACAAGGAGCTGCAGCAGCTGTAGTCGGCATCGTAACCATACGTCCCATCTGTGCGGCAGCTCTCGCCTGGGGAGGGATGTATGCCTGGATATCTTCATAATGTGAGTGCCAACCTCGCACCTTGTGCCCATACGCCTGTACCTTGTCAGCCCATTAGTGCCCATGAACCCCCACCCATCAGTCCCATGTCACCCCACTTGGTGCCCCCACTCCTGCCCCCAGCCACTCACTCCTGCTGGAGAGCCAGGGCCGTGTGGGCGTGGAGGTGTAGTGGTACCCGGCACGATCCACGCACTCAATGCTCTGGTCCCCATAGATGATCTGGAACACCTGGCAGATGAGTGCACAGGACTCCTCGCCAGCATCCTGCAGTGGGGAGGAGGAGGGCAGTGAGTGCTGCTGGATGGGGGAGCAGGCAGTGGGTGGCGGGTGGCACACACCGGGGCCGCTCACCCTGTTGGGCACAGCGAGGATGATGAGGTTGGAGTAGGCGTCGGGGCAGGGCTCCTGGGGGTCC